AGTGAAAACACAAAATCAATAATGGTGTTGTTGGATAATTTTTTTTTATGAACCTTTATCTTTTAGAGATACTTCTTGAAATGTTTCCAGATGAAATGATACAAAGTCTGGTATTTGCCTCAAAATAATTTTGGAAATGGGAAGGGATGGGAAAAATAGAGGAAACAAGATTGGCCAGGAATTAATAATTGTTAAAGCTGGTGATGAATCCATGGGACTTCATATGTAATTCTATGTTTATATAGGTTTAGATTTTTCCATAATGAAATAGTTAAGGAAGCAAAAAAGAGTGAGAGAAGCCCTGACTGATAGGCTCAGTTGATTGGACATCGCCCTGTGCACCAAAAGGTTACTGTTTCGATGCTCAGGACAGATGCCTTGGGCTTGATCCCCAGTAAGCAAAGCGGTGTGCAGGAGGCAGCCACAATTGATGTCTCACTCTCACATCAATGTTTCTCTCTCTCTTCCTCTCCCTTCCTCTCTAAAAGTCTATTTTTTTAACTCTTAAAAAAAAAAAGAGTGAGAGAAGAAAGGATGGGAGGGAAGGGGAGAAAAAAATAAACAAGAAAGCAGTGTGCCACAATTTGTAGAAACAATTGCCATGTATGGATGGCAGATAGCTGACCTACATTTTCTAGACAGAAAGTAGATTTAAGATTCTGGGGCTTGTGGGCATAGTGTGCCATTTGCATCATCAAAGGAGAGTGTCCTCAGTAGACCTTGGTGCCCCTCAGTCCCTGTGGTCTCTTGACCAGCCCTCTCCCTCCCTGACACGGTGGACACAGTAAGGAAGCTTGTTGGGTCACACTTGTCCTTTCAGTCATTAACCTCACAGATGGCTCGGTGACAGTTCAGGGACTGGCGCAGGGCCGCTCCCCAGAGTCACGTTTGCACACAGGAAAGGAGGAGATCCAAAATAAATGGGCCCTTGAGAAAGAAGCAAGGATGTGGTACCAGATGGTTTTCTTTATAAGCACAAAGCCAGAGCACAGGACCACCACCTGTCCACTACTGGGGGCTCTCTGGGTGTGGGCGGCCAGCAAGGAGGGCAGGGATGAGACTCCAAATGTAGATTCCTGCCCCAGCATTTTGTGAGGAGCATTTTTGAGGGGGAGGGGGTTGCTCAGGTTGGGGTGGTTGGAGCCTCAGGGTCTGCCCCTGGGTTCTCTGTTGCAGCCCCATTGCCCTGGGGAAGCTCCTGTGGGCCCAGCCGCTGGGACCCTGGGCGAGCTGCTTGACCTCTCGACAATGTAGGTGGGACCACACACCTCACAAGGAGCCTGTAAGGATCATGGCCAATCCAATCGCGGGATCATTTCATGGAGATGGTCCCCTGAGCTCTAATGTATCCCCCTGATCCGCTAAATAAGGAGCCAGCATGTTTCCTCCCTGCTCCTCTGAGCAGTTCCTCAGAAGCCCCCTGGGGGTCCTAGGCTTTCTCCTGCCTTTCCTCCCCCACAACCCAGAAGTGTTCTTTGTGCCTCTCAGCCTCCTCAGGGTAGGTCCACACCGGGCTGGTTCCCTTCCGGTGGTGTTGGTAGGGCTTTGGGGCTAATCCTGGATCTCATATCTCTGATATTCTTTTTAAAGGAAAGAGCCCATTAGGATGTCCTAACAGTGTTTCCCAAAGTGTGGTACGAGTACCCCCAGGAGTATGGGAAGAGTTTGGTGGGGGTGCGCGTTGCACCGGAGTTTGGTTGGGGATATGCACTGCACCGTGCTTAGCTGCGCCTAATTCTACGTTCTCATGAGTATGAGGGGCACTCAGCGTTACGAAAATTATAGAAGGGTACACATATGTCAAAAGTTTGGGAAACATTGTTAGGAGATATTTCTCTTTCTCTCTCTTTCTCTCTCTCTCTCTCTCTCTCTCTCTCTCTCTCTCTCTCTCTCCTCAATCACTAACAACTCTGCCCCCACCTCTGAATTGCTTTGTTCACCTATCTCTCCCCAACCCTCACCTTTCCTTCCTCTTCCTGACTTCTCTGATCCTGGCTGTGCTCACCGCCTCACCAATTCCAACTCCACACAGATCCCCCTTCACCTCTTTACACATTGTCCTGGATTGCTGTCTTTACTTAACACATCCCAGGTGATCACCCAGACAGAAGGCAGCTCCAAAAACTACTGCTTAATGGATTAACTTGAGCGTGAGGGAGCGGGCTGAGCAAGGATAACCGTGATGAAACCTAATGCCCTTCCACTTCAACTCACTGGCTTGAGCTCAACGCCCCAGAAGGGGGCACAGGCCAGCAGCCTTCTCTCCTTGCCTCTTCCCTCGCTTCTAAGGCTCCTCCAATAGCAGTGTTTCTGGAGCAGGACTCTGTGTCATGCCCTTTATATTCCTTTTTTCCTTTGCTTCTCGGAGTGTCCCCATTTTACAGATGGGGAACTGAGGCACAGGGATAAACCGCTTTCCCAGGGCCACTCAGGTAGACAGTGACAGCTAACTTCCACCCTCACACTCAGCCCCCAGCTGCAAGAAGCAGCACAAGAAGCACTGGGCCCAGCCCTCCTGGGAGGAGACCTGAAGGGCAGGAGTATACTGACCTTTCAGGGGACCAAACAAAAGCAGATGGGAATGGACAACCCCCCTGAATTAAGTGCCATCTGCCAGCTGGCCAGTTGGGCACAGTGAGGTCGGGTGAGTAGGAGAGTTCCCAATCAACCAGAGGAAGGTGAAGCAGCCAGATCGTGGTTCTTTGGGATGGACCTAGGAGGATGGGGAAGGTGAGGAGAGGCAGGCCTCTGCCTAGGGCAGTGGTCGGCAAACTCATTAGTCACCAGAGCCAAATATCAACAGTAGAATGATTGAAATTTCTTTTGAGAGCCAAATTTTTTTAACTTAAACTTCTAACGCCACTTCAAGACAGACTCGCCCAGGCCATGGTATTTTGTGGAAGAGCCACACTCAAGGGGCCAAAGAGTCGCATGTGGCTCGAGAGCTGCAGTTTGCCGACCACTGGCGTAGAGCATGAAGGGACTGCTCTGGGCCTGGTAGAGGGCTGGCACTGGCATGAGCCATTTCAGCACACTCAGCACAAAGGGAGAAGGTTGGGGAGGGGGAGGAGTCCATTTGGCTGAGCAGATGGTACAGGGGAACAGGGACAGGAGTTTGGACTAGTTGGGGGTGACTACGGAATGACAAGTTCACTGTTTAAACCTTTGGCTGCACCTCCCTCCCAGTGAGTCAAGCCAACAGGGAAGCCCAGCTAGCTGTGGTTAGAGGCCCTAGAGAACTGAGGCCAGGCCAGGACCCACCCAGCCACCTACCTGAGCAGAAGGGGTTTCTTCTTGCACATTTAGGCTGGGCAGGGCCAGGATTGGCTGTCCCATCACCTGGCTGCTCCACTGAGATGAGCTCTGGGCTGGCTAGAGAGGGACATGGAGCCAGGGCCTTGTGGGAGCCCCTGGTGGCCTGAGCATCCCAGAGCCAGGTGGAAAGAGAGAGGAGACCAGCCTGAGGAGGGGTACAGCTGTCAGAACAGTGGGTCTCATCCAGGGGTGATCTCTCCCACCCTTCCCAGGGGCATTTCACAAAGTCTGGAGACATCTTTGTGGGAGGTGCCACTGGGATCTAAGCCAGGGATGCTGCTAAACATCCCACAATACAACCCCCATTCAAACAAAGAATTATGTGGCCCAAGATGGCAGCAGTGCCAAGGCTGACACCCCGATGCAGAGTAAGGCGGGTAAGGGGCTGAACTCCAGGCCACTCGGATGAAGTGACCTCACCCTCCAGAGGAGGCATCCTTTCCTAACGCAGCCTGATGCATGTGGACATTAAATGTGGCGTGTGGCTGAGGGTGGGGGAGAGAGTGGCAGGGAGCGGGGAAGGGGGGTGTGGGAGGGAGCCACTGTCTGGAAGAGAGAATGTATCTGCTGTCGCCTAGGCTGTAATTTGTGCAAAAAGCAATTTCAAAGAGATATTTAGTCTTTAATAGAGGGTCAAAAAGTCAGCGCACACGATGATGTCACCTCCGGCTTGGCAGAGATAGAGGTTTGAAAGCACTGTGACAAGCACTCCAGGTGGGAAAGGAGGTGTGATCAAAGATCTTCATTGTAAATGGTGAGAAACAACATACATGCCATGGATGGGGGGCAAGCTGGCTACACAGTGGATTATCCTGCAGAATAAGGAGGTCACTGTCCGTGTACAGATATGGAAATGTCTCCAGAATGTATCAAGCAAAGAACATAAAGAAGCAGAGTGCAGAACTCTGGTGTGCTGCGCTGCCAGTGACAGGGGAGGAATAAGACCAGCAGTATATTAATAATTGCTAACATTTGGGTAAAGCAGTGGGTCTCAAACTTGTGCATGGGAACCGCCCTTTTTGGCCTTTTTGGCCACACTTCAAACAATAACAACCTTTACTTTTATTGGGGGTAAAGGGGGGCGTGGAGGGAATGTGGAGAATGCCCCACTTTTCTCTCCCAGAGCGGAACTGCCCAGCTTTCCCGACCCTGACTTGGGCGCCCACCGGCCTGGCCACCAGCGCGGCGCTTTAGACAAAGGCCTATAAAGTGGCCTCTTTCCTTAATCGCTCCAGCGACCCAGAGAGACTGTTTCCCGACCATCCATGGCCGCCCAGGGTGAGCACTTCGTGGTTTTTGAAGGAATCCTGCAGGAACCGAAGAGTTGGGGGCCAATAAAGCATCATGCTCCCCCCGCCCCCCGCCCGCGCCCCCATTTCTCCTTTCCTAGATGAGCTAACTGAAGGTCTGATGGAAGGTGGCCACGGGCCAGGGACAAACCTAGCCCTCCAACCTCCAGCCCCCGCCCCCCGCCCCCGCTGGGGAAGGAGGAGCGAAGGCTACAGCGGATCCTCCCTCCCTCGGGCTTTGTGCGAGCCTGGACTCCAGCTGTCACCGCCCCGCTGGAGGGCGCGCATTTCCGGGCTGCCCACCGGCCGGGTCGCTTCGGGAGCCGCTGCCCCTGCAGAGCCAAGAGCTGCCCCCGCCCGCTCCGCCGCCATCCGGCCCCAACCGCGCCCCCCAAAATGCCCGTCGACTTCACCGGGTACTGGAAGATGCTGGCCAACGAGAATTTCGAGGAGTACCTGCGCGCGCTCGGTAAGCCGCTGCCCGCCCAGCCTGGCCCCCTGGCCCGGGGCGCCCCGCGAGCCCCTCCGAGGCAGGCGCTCCTCCCCGGAGCCCGCGCAAAGGGCGGCCGCCGGGCTGGCCTCCGAGGTGGCCTGCGGGCTTGCCCTGGAGGATGGGGGTTGTCAGGGTTCCTTCGTGGTAAATATCTGAGAGTTGGCTCTAGTTTAGACGTGGATAATTTCACTAGGAACGCTGGGCTGGGTTTCCTAGTTTTTGTTTTGTTTTGAAGGGTTAGCGTAAGGGCGGAGAAAACTTTGTTGCAAAGAAGAAAATAAAGAAAAAGGCGCAGACTGGCTGCGCACAGAATGTGCAAGCCAGAGGGAACCCCAGCTGTTTCCCCTGGGGAGCGGGCTCTTGGGGAGGCGGGGTGGGGGGGGGGGGGAAGAGGGGGGGAAGAGGGGAATCTCTGTCTTAGGAGCAGTTCTCTGAGTTTCCCGGCCCACTCTTTCCCCCCTTCTGCCCGGCACCCTCTGCAGACGTCAATGTGGCCTTGCGCAAAATCGCCAACTTGCTGAAGCCAGACAAAGAGATCGTGCAGGACGGCGACCACATGATCATCCGCACGCTGAGCACTTTCAGAAACTACATCATGGACTTCCAGATTGGGAAGGAGTTTGAGGAGGACCTGACGGGCATAGATGACCGCAAGTGCATGGTGAGGATTTACTACACCAGCATCTCCTGCCCAGGGGGCCTGACCCACGGCTGGGCTCATTCATTTAGAGGGGCGCAAGGGCCCTTGCATTCTTAGGGATCTTGGCTTGGTGCCCCAAGTAGGCAGCACCCGCTCATCCAGCATCCTCCTCCGTGCAAAGCGGATGGTTATAGCTATAAAAATCCAAGCTTGTGTAGTCTCTTCTGTGTCCCGACAAGTGCTTTACACACTTGACTCCGCCTAATCCTCCCAACCACCTTTGAGGGAGGTCTGAGCACACCCATTTAACAGATGAGAAAACAGTCTCAAAGAGATGAAGTAATACGCCTGGAGCAGCACCGCTAGGGAGGGGTGGGCTGGAATTCCAGGCATGTCTGTGGACTGTTGTCTGGTTGTACTCTGGGTGGTGAAGGAGGAGAGAGAGCAGGAAGGGAAGAAATAAAGAAGAAACACAGGAAACCCTCTTGAAGTGTAAACTTCCCATATGACCTAGCAGGAATCCACTCCAGAAAGCAGGGGCCACTGGGATCCCTTCCAGAAGCCTCTGACCTGCCCCTTTCTGTCCCCAAACTGGGATCTGGCTCCTAAACATCCATCCCCATCCCCACCGTCTTCCACTCTGGGATCCATCCCCATCTCCACTGTCTTCCACTCTGGGATCCATTCCCACTGTCTTCCACTCTGGGGTCCATCCCCATTCACTGTCTTCCACTCTGGGGTCCATCCCCATCTCCACCGTCTTCCACTCTGGGATCCATTCCCACTGTCTTCCACTCTGGGGTCCATCCCCATCCCCACCGTCTTCTACTCTGGGATCCATCCCCATCTCCACCGTCTTCCACTCTGGGATCCATCCCCATCCCCACCGTCTTTCACTCAGGGATCCATCCCCATCCCCACCGTCTTCCACTCTGGGATCAAACCCCGTCCCCACTGTCTTCCACTCTGCGCTGCAGAGCTTCCTTTGAACCTTGCAGCCAAAGCCTACTGGAAAGGTCCGCCCTCTGCAGCTCAAGCCAGAGGCTGCAGCAATGGGGGGAGGAGGTGGAGACCCGCCCCCAAGGGTGGGAAGCTGGTGACCAGGAGACCCCAATTAGTGCTGCCACAGCAAACTCCAGAAGGTCAGCCCCAGGCCTCCATCAACATTCTCTGGTCACTGGGAGGTCAGGGTATTCGGGTCTCTCTTTCATAGTCTTGGGTCCAGAGCTAGTTTCTACTTATTGATGAGGCCCTCCCTCTTGTCCTCCCCTCCTCCTTCCGTTATTACGGGGGTTTGCTGTTTGCCCTGCCCTGTGTACAACCCAGTGAGGGAGGGGTGAGTCCCCTATATTATGCAATATATGGGTAAGTCTCAGGAGAAGGACTGGCGAGAGATGGGATCTGAAACCTAGGTCTTTGAAGCCCACGCTCCGGCTCTCGGCCAGGTTCCTCCCTGCTGGGAGCCTGTGCGGAAACCAGATGGCTGAGGCTCGTTAGGACAGTGGTTAAGGAGAGCTGGTGGCTGGGATTGAGGATCCCCGGGCCTTGAGGACTCATCCTCTGTTGTTGACTCGTCTGGAGGCAGTCAGGAGTGAGTGTGAGCCTGCTGTTAGGAATGATAGCAGCAGAGGGAGTGGCCGCCCTAGAGTGTCCTTGGAGAGGCCAGTATTGGGGGAAAACACTATTGTGTCTGTAAAGACCCGAGGCCTCTTACTCTGCCCAGAGGCTCTGTGCCAGCGTGAGGTGGGGGACCTGCCCTGCCTTTCAGACCTCTGCCCACGACCCGCCCCCTGGCCCGCTGCATGGGATTGCACTGTAAGAACAGTCGTCCCCAACTCAGTCTTGGAGAACACACAGAACACACACACACACACACACACACAAAATATGTTTATTTTGGGTCACCCACAACCTCTGGAATGTGTTGGCTTGAACCTGGCTAATTAGCTTCGCTCTTTTATTTCCTCTATTAATGCGGAAAACATTCACTGGTCACCCAGGAAGACTAGCTGATACTCAAGTGCTTACTAGGTACCTGGTAGTGTTCACATTTTGTTTTAATTCAGTCTTCACAACATTTACCGATAAGAAGACCGAGGCAGGACTTATTGTGTGGTCTCTGGGAAGCAAAGTAAATGGCAGAGGGAGGATTTGAATTTGGTCTGTCAGTACCGGAGTGCACAGTCCCTGCTGTGCGGGGACTCACAGTCTTTGTGGTGGAGACACACAGTTCAAACACTGTGAGATCATTGGTAACAAAGGGAAGCGTGCAGAGGAGGGATCCAGAGGAGTTCTGGAGAGGGTCCCTGCTACTCTTGATGATAAAAGAAAAGGAGGCCCTAGCTGGTTTGGCTCAGTGGATAGAGCGTCGGCCTGCAGACTGAAAGGTCCCGGGTTCGATTCCGGTCAACGGCATGTACCTTGGTTGCGGGCATGTTCCTAGTAGGGAGTGTGCAGGAGGCAGCTGACCAATGTTGCTCTCTCATCCATGTTTCTACCCCTCTCCCTTCCTCTCTGTAAAAAATTCACAAAAATATATTTTTTTAAAAAGAAGAGAAAAGGGGGAAGGGAGGATTTGGACCAAAAGGAAGGGACCCGTGGCCATCTTCTTTTCTTAACCCAGCAGTAGGACAGTGGTCGGTGAGCAGACCAGGTTGCCCAGCGGCTGGGCAAACCGGATGACATCAGGCAAGACTCCTGGTCCCTTCTGCTGTCCCAGGACTCACTAGATGGCCACTTGCTTACTTTCCTGTTGCCCTCTGCCCAGGCCTGCCCTTGGCCCCCGCCTCGCCTTTCTCTCCTGACTGCCCGGCTGGATGGCGGGCCATCGTGAAGAGCGTGCTGTGGGAGGGTTAGAACAGAATTACAGAAACTGCCAGCCTGAGGCTTGTCAATGGAGGGAAGCTGCATGCCAAGATGCCATGCTGGCTACTATCTCTGGGCCCTCAGGGGCCTGAGCAAGGTGGTGGCCCCTTCTGCTCCACACGCTCTGCACCCACCAGCCAGTCCACAGCTGGGGGGAAGCAGTTTGTTTTCAGCATCCGGTGGCTTCATTCTAACATGTCCTTCCCAGCACATTTCAAAGGTGTCGTTTCTCACCTGGGATCATTCATTCAGGTGGTGTGCATTCCTCTCTCAGTTCTACAAGTATTTCGAGGTGCTGGCTCTTGCATCTTTGCAGCCCTTTGTTACTGAGAGGAATCATACAAGAGTCCTGTCCTCACGGAGTTCAGGGTAGTGGGGGAGTCAGGTCACAGCAGCCAGTCACACTGTGGTGTGTGCCATGGAGGGAGGAGAGGCAGAGAGGGACCTCCTCCTGGCTCTGGGAGGTCAGGAGCAGTTCCCACAGGAAGTGGAGTCTAAACTGTGGCTTGAAGGATAGGCAGGAAGTTGCCAGGCAAACAGGAAGAGGGTGAGAGGAAGGCCAAGGCCAAGAGAGCAGCACTTGGTAAGTGCTATTTCGGACCTATCCCACACCAGGCCCTGGACTCAGTGTGGGGTCATGGAAATAGCACGGCCTCCTGGAGCAGGCCAGTGAGGAGACAGATGCATCTTTAGAACGACGCAGCCCAGTGTTGTGATGGAAGCACAGTGGGCTGAGGAGCATAGAACTGGGGTTTGGGGGGCAGTGGTCATGGAAGGCTCCCTGAAGGAGGTCACACCTGAGGCCTTGAAGGACAAGTAAGAATTAGGGTAGACTTAGAGAAAGAAGAAAGCATTCCAGGCAGAGGGAACCATAGGCACAAAGGCCCAGATGTCAGAAAAGGCCTGTTGGGAGATTTCAGGAGGTGAGAGAGGTGCAGTCTGGAAGTCTTCAGTGTGGCCGGCGTGCAAAATGTGGCCAAAGGAGAGGAATAATGAGGATTTAAGGAGCCCACAGTTTCAGGAAGCCCTTACTGGGAGGGGCGTGGTCAGGCTGCGGGGAGAGGCGTGGTCAGCCTGCTGGGAGGGGCGTGGTCAGCCTGCTGGGAGAGGCGTGGTCAGCCAGCTGGGAGGGGCGTGGTCAGCCTGCTGGGAGAGGTGTGGTCAGCCTGCTGGGAGGGGCGTGGTCAGCCAGCTGAGAGGGGCGTGGTCAGCCTGCTAGGAGAGGTCAGGCTGACATTCCTCCAGGAGGTTCTCTGGCTCAGAGATCTCTGACCCTGCCTCTCTTCCTTGGGAACAAGATAAGTTTCCTAGCCAGAGGGTGAAATCTGGCCTGCAAGATGTGTTTTGTTGGCCTGTGCAATGTTTGAAAAATTTCAAAGCCAGTTGCCAATTATTGCCAAAGATTGTAATATTTTATTTTTAAAAAGCATATTTCTAGTTGTTTTTACAAAAAAAAAAAAAAAAAAAAAAAAAAAAATATATATATATATATATATATATATATATATATATATATATATATATATCATGATGCTAAAAACACTGGGTGCCTGATTATGTCTGTGCCATGTGGCTCCCTGAGACACTGTCACAGCTGCCCCCCTAGATGGAACAGTCTCTGGTTAACGAAGTCCTCTCACCCCACCCTGTTCCCCGAAGTCAAGGATCAGCTGGCCCATCCTCATCCTTGTGCCTTGAGTTCCTGAGCAGCTCGCTAAGTGATGGCTCCCTAAGAGCAAGCCAGCAGCAGCAGCATCACAAGAAACAGGTTCTCCGACCACGCCCCTGGCCTGCTGAATCAGAAACTGTAGGCATCGGGCCAGGAGCTGCCAACCCGGTGGGTTTCACTGTGCCCACCACGTGGTTCTGATGCAACTAGAGCTTTTGATTCCCTGCTTTGGAGTGAAAAAACATCTCTGTGCCTGCGCCTCTCTAAACCAGGCCAGTTTTGTGCATCATCTGACCCCTATGGACCTTGCCATCCCTGTCCAGAACCACGTGAAATGGCTCACGGTCTCTCCCCAGGCTGAGGCATGGAGGGATTCAGATCCATGTAGCCAGAGTCATTCACAACGTTTTCAGTCTGTTCTGTTCAGCGCTGACATGCAGTCATTTGGTGGGAATGTATAGATGAGATCCAGGTTTTTCTCCCCTGC